CCGCATCCCCTTTCTCCTATCGGTTCTCGGGTAAGGCCCCCGCCGCAGAGCTCCACCTGGCCGCCTACGGGGACAGGCTTTGGGCGACGGGGAGGAAGGAGTCTCGCGGGTGTGGTGGGGCCGCTGGTTGGGAGGGGCACGGGGAAGAGGGAGGGGAGCCTGGAGCAAATGGTCCTGGCCCCTCCCCCATTCAGACTTAGATGCGGCGTCCGTGGACTCGGATATGTACGATCTGCCCAAGAAAGAGGACGCTTTACTTTACCAGAGCAAGGGTAAGGCCAGGGTGGGGTGGGCACCCTGGCACCCTCGTTCCACTCCTTCAGGGATCCCGGTGTCAGGAAGAACCTGAGACCTCAACCCCCATGGTCCTATAGTGGCCTTGGAGGGGAGAAATTATGTCACAGGCCCCCAAGTGGGCGTCAGATTAGGGCCATCGCGCCAGGCGGGGGACACCGCTGCCCCTTCTGCTACCGCTACCCCTCCTTCCCAAGGCTACAACGATGACTACTACGAGGAGAGTTACTTAAGCACCAGGACTTACGGGGAGCCTGAGTCTGTAGGCACATCCAAGGGCTTCCGCCAGCCCGCCGCTTCACTCTCAGATGCTGACACCTTCCACCACCAGGTGAGCTGGCCATCGGGCACCCTATACTTGGGTACAACCTGAGGGGGTCATCGCTGGGTTTGGATACATTGCGGGGTGGCCCTAAGCCTCCAGGGAGAGGTGGGCTCAGCAGTTGCCTGCCTAGTCAGGACCTTTCTTTGCGGGGCTGTCACAACTGTCTGACTAAAGGACCTGGGACATGCCCTACACTCTGGTCTGGGATCTGGGTTTGAGCTCTTTCTGAGAATCCTGGGGCAGAAAGTAGGGTGCAGGCAGTCAGGACAGTCACTGAGCAAGTGGCAAGGCCCCACAGATAAGGCCGGGAACTGAGAAGGCTTCTGGAGGGTGGCAAGGCCCCGGCTTTTAAGCAGTATTCAGAGTAGGTTCGGCAGGGAAGTTCGGATTAAGGGATGTGACAGGACCACGCTGACCTCACCAGGCAGTATCTTTTTACCCTGATTCACTTCTGTAGGTTCGCGATGACAGTCTTTTCTCTTCCGAAGAAGAAGGCAAGGATAGGTGAGTAGTAGGGAGGGCCAGGGACTGGGGCTGGTTCTGGGCTCAGGCCCTCCTGACCTATCCACTTTCCTCTTTGCCTCAGGGAGCGCCCCGTGTATGGTCGGGACAGTGCCTACCAGAGCATCGCACACTACCGCCCCGTTTCCAACGTCTCCAGAAGCTCCCTGGGCCTGTCCTATTACCCCACCTCCTCCTCTACCTCTCCAGTGTCCTCATCTTCATCTCCCCCACCTTCGTGGCTCACGCGCCGTGCCATCCGGCCCGAAAAGCAGGCCCCTGGGGCTGGTCTGGGTCAGGAGCGCCAGGTCCCACTCTGGGGTCAGATGCTACTGTTCCTGGTCTTCGCTGCCTTCCTGCTCTTTGTTTACTACTCCATGCAGGCCGAGGATGGCAACCCCTTCTGGGCGGACCCCTGAGGGTCTGGCTTCGTGGTTTTGGGGCCAGCTGCTCTTGGAAGTCCTGGCTGACTGCCTTAGCAGTGTTTGCTGGGGGAGGGGGGTTGGGGCTTTTCTGTGTTCTAGCTTGGGGGTCCTGGGAAAGGGGCAATGTTTGCTTCCCCTGCCTTGTCCTGCCAGGGAGGCAGCAGGACCAGACCCTCTGCAGCATGGTGGGCCTGGGCGGGCCTTCCTCTGGAGCCTCCTGGCCCTGCTTGCCTCTGACCCTTAAGGGCCTAGGAGGGCAAGATCCTTCTCCTGGAGAGAACATGGTTGTTGTCATTGCATGATTCGTTGTCACCTCATTGGGGGGATTAACCAAAGGCCACCCTGACTTTGTTTTCATGAACGCACAATAAAAAGACCGTTTATTTTTAACATGTGGGCTCTTCCCTTTAATGTGGGGAGGGATTGGGCTGCCCCCTGCTCAGGGCCTCTGGGGCTTGGGTCTCCAGAGTTGACATCTGGCTTTGTTGGTTCTTCCTTTTTCTTTTCGGTTAAGGGTAGGGATCACATGCTACCCATGGGCACATATGTGTTTTGCTTGTAGGGTCCATTTCCTGATTTGTTACCAAAGCTCTTGTAACTACTTAAGAATTACAGCCCACAGACAGCCCACCCGGAAATGCAGGCAAGGTGGCACAGACGACGTCAGTTGTGGATGTCCTAACTGGGAAAAGCAGACGCCCACCTCGGTGTCCCAGGGCAGGGAGATGGAAAGGGTTCCGCTTGGTGGGCCATTTCTATTGGGTAAAGCTGATTGTTTAATGACAGGGGAAGGCTCCCAATACCCGGAAATGCCCCATCACCTTCGGGTAAACCAGTCCCTCACCTGGCTATTCTCAATTACCTCCTGGTTTTCTGCCACGGGTATTTCCTAATTTTCAAAGTTTAGGTACAACTTTAACGGCAGGTGCTGAGGTAACCCAGGGTAGGACGCCATGTGAGGCCGTGCACTCTGGCTCTACACCACCAGCAGGGGGCTGAAAAGCAGAGAGGCTGGCTCCACCAGGGCTTCCCCGTAGGGTGGGGCCCTGACACCAGTTCCTCACCTCTGGTGGCTCCTGGCTACAGATGGTAGACAGGACGTGGCGGGGCTGGCCTCTCACCTGCACGTGCACTGTGGGCTCCTGAGTCTTCGCAGGCACTTGGCTGTCCAGGGCCACATGGTGAGCTCCAGCCAGGGCGGGGGCTGGAACCCTCCCACCCAACGCTCCTGCTCATTTTTTTGCTGCACCCTAGTCTGTCCCTGCACTTTTTTGGTATGTATGTGTTTTCCTAAAAGTAACACATTTTTATGCATTTAAAATATACAGAAAAGATACATATATATACAGAAAAGAATGAAAGAACTTAGTTGCTTCAGATTTTCTCACCACTCCCACAGCCTCTGCAAGCCACTCCCACCTGGCCCCCCCAGCACCCAGCCAACTGGCGTGGAGTCCCCAGGCCCCTTGTCATCCCAGTGCAAGAGCTGAGGCTTGGATGATTCATGGTGGGTGGTGGGCATGGGCAGAGATGCTGCCTCCTCATCGGTGACAACAGGGCCTGATGGTAAGATCAGTGAGCCTGCATTGGGGGAGGAGCAGAACAAGCACTCAGGTTGCCAGTGCATGGGGACTACAGAGGGGCACAGTGAGACATCTTGTTTCAGCAACTGATCCCAAATCAAGTATGTTACAAGCAGGGACTGAGCCTGTGAGAATGGTCCCCAACAATCACTCACTACCTGGGACTGCTGGAGCCCCAAGGAGTCTGGGCAGAGGCAGGTGAAGCCTAGAGAAATGGCAAGGCTTATGTGCTGACACTCGGGAGTAGCTGAGGCAGAGAGAAGGGAAAGCACAGGAGGAAGGAGAGCTGAGCTTGAGGCATCACAAGGAAGGGGAGAGACCGAGGCCTCTGGATGGAATGCCCTCTGCGGGCTTCAGTCCTCCATCTGTTGCAGGGAAAGGGGAGGCTAGGTATGCTTGGCAACCATTGTGCTGTCTTGAGAGAAGAAAGAAAGGAAAGAGTTACCACCCAGGAGACAGTCTCCACCTTTCTTCATTTATTCCCCAAGGGCAACCACATGCATTGATCACCACCCTCCAGAGGGAAGGTGACTGCAGGCTCCTGTGGGGCTTCAAGCCTCCTGCCCCAGGGCTGAGCCACCCCCTCCCAGAGTTCTGATAGCTCCCAAAGGCTCTGGCCCCCCTCCAGGACTCCCCTTCAGCCTGGGCCCCACTTCCCAGGGTTCCAGATCTCCATAAGGGAACTAAGTGCCCCCTAGTGCTCTGAGCACCCCAACCCAAAGGCTTTTGAGGGCTCCGTGAGCCCCTGAGGGACCCCAGATTTCGAGGTCTCGA